ATGTGTGTGTGTGTGTGTGTGTGGAGCCCTCTCCACAGCCAGCAACATTATCTTCTCCAATGGAGATCTGGACCCATGGGCCAATGGAGGGGTAAGAGATGACATCAAGACTATGGAATGTTTATTTTGTAGTCTTTACATTTTTATTGTACAAATAACATGTTTTTGAATGCTGCTGCTGCAACGCAAACATTTCCCAAATTGAAGTCAGCACTGTAATCTGTGAAGCGCTGCGTTCAGTCAGACCCAATCATCTCTCTTCTGTTTAGGTGCGCCGGTCCCTGAGCTCATCATTGGTAGCTGTGAACATTTCTGAAGGCGCCCATCATCTGGATCTCAGGTAGAGCCAGCGGGTCCCTGCACAGACATCCTCACTCTTTAACCCTCAAATAAATCTAATCCGCCTTTATCTGTTGTTTCATGCAGAGGATCTAATGCTGCAGATCCTGTGTCAGTGATCAGTGCCAGGAAGACAGAAGCCGAGCTCATCGCTCAGTGGGTGGAGGAGGAGCGGCTCACTTTAAAGCTCTACATGGCTTTGGAACACGCAGAGTTAGCCCTGGAATTTAGCCGACATGGAGGGAAATAATGGACTTTACAATGCACAGAATGATTGGATGAGCTGCTCGGTCGAGGAAAATGAAAGTCATCATGGACATGTCAAACAGCTTGCGTAACATTTTGCTTGCTCTTTTTTTTTCCAAATGCAATAGCATTACAAAGTTTGAGTTTCAAGATCCAAACATTTAGATCATTGGATCTGCAGCCTCTCCATCCTCCCCTCACACACCAGCTGAGGGGAGGATCTGACCCTGCTGTATGCTCCATTTCTATCCCAAGACACCAAAACACGATGAGTCATTGATCAACACAAATATTCTGTTCAATAAAATCTCTTTAATTTCTACAATTTCTACTCATTTAAAGTCGATCCTGAGTTTATCATTCACCATGTGACAATAAAAACCAACACAAATATAAAATGTTTGTGTGCAGCATGGCACAGCCTCCACTTAAAGCAGTCTGTCTCAAACAGAAGTGATTTCAAACCCCACAGACCCTTATCAAAAGCACTGAAAATAGTTTTACCTGAAACAGGCTGCTTTGTAGAAATGGCTTTTCATTTTTACTATACCAAACACTAGGGTTGATAATATGTTCAGCATATTTTTGGCTCAGGAATTATGCTGAAAACATCTAGGGAGGGGTCATAGCGCCTCTTCAGGCAGGATGTCAATACTTACACTGCTATAGATGAGCTTTCTGTAAACCTAAAGACTGCTGAAAAAATAGAAATCCTTACTTTATTATTCCATCGTAAAAATAGTCATATTTGCATTCTGCAGTTTTCATAATGATCACACTGTGGCTAACCAGCAATGGATGCACATGTTAATAATAGACTGAATGTATAGACATCAGCAAGTCAACAGTTGTATTTTGAAGGCACATGTGAAACAACACCAAGGAAGAATACACAAGATGAGTTTGGTCTTAAAGTCATAACAGAATAGAGCTATGATGTAAACTATTAGTATTTACAGGAATGAATGCAGCTGCTGTGAGGTTGCTACTTTGAAAACAAAAAATGCACAAGAGCTGACTGTATTAAGATGATCGCACGCTAAATCTATATTTTAAATGAATTGCTATCACTTCAAAGAGAAACAGAGGAATGTCACACCATACCAAGAAAAACAGAAGGAGAAATGGAACAATCAGTGAAAAGAGCAGCTTCTCAGAAAAATGATAAAAAATATCATTAATGCTTATAACTCACTGATATCCTCACAAAAGACAAGCTTCACACTTCACTAATAAACCTGCTGCTTGGCAATAACTGAAATCATAACAAAGTCAGTCCAGAGTACAGATACATTCATGACAAATGGGAATTATACGATTGCAAGAAGTTATTAATAACTTGCCATCCTTTATGGGGTAGCAACACACACACACACTCTTCTCCTACAACTCTGGACCTTTTCCGACCTTGATTATCAAAGGTTACATGTCAGAGTTTAAGAATCTGCATGGCTCCAGACTCTGCTGAGCAGATGTCCACCATGTTCCATTCATGAACGTAGCTCTGCCTGGCCTGCCAGTCAGGGTCCACCAATCATGTCGGGCATTGGGAAAACTGCTGGGTTGCCAGGTTGCAAAAATAAAAAAGCGTTGCTTGGGCGTTGAGGCATGTAAGTGTGTTACAGTATTGTGTGCTTTTACTGAAGTTTACGATCTGAATAATGCTTCCAGCACTGCTCCACAGCATGACATACGATCATCTCTGACAAACGGAGAAATATTATCTTGATATCCCCTGACCCTGCGGAATTGAAGTCAGTGTCCTCCACAAACTAAACTGAATGCTACTCCTTGAGTTGCACTGATCTAGGATGGTACTTTTATGCAGTAAAGTCACATCTCCTGTATGACATGAATGCAGCATGGGAAAGCGAATACTGGACTGAGCGAGCACCGAGGGCATCTGAGGATAGTCATAGCCAGACAAAATGACTATATGACACAGTGTGATGGACTCATTAGCTTTGTCTTGCAGCCCTGCAGGAGTCACAGCAGTACAGAGCTGTGACAGAGGGGGGGCAGCAGCAGACACACAGGAAGCTTCAGGTCGGACAGCTGCTGGCTGCTGTCAGTAACCGTCTGCTACAAGGCACCAGCCTGCTGACCTCAGCACCGGGTTGCACCCCCATAGCAGATGCGAGCTTAAGAAACCATTTCACTGGATACAATGCAGGGGATAAATACAACATGTTTTTTTCCCCGACATAAAATGTACATTTGTGTTTGAAGTTATGTGCACAGCTGTAAGCAATGAACAGCTTCAAACTGGAAATCTCAGTATCAGCCATCCAACACCTTCATGTGTTCAAGACATCTTTGATTCAAGTCACAATCAGGTTTCTCTTTAAAGCAGATGGTAGAGGAAGGAAACCTTCCTCTGCTTCATCAGCATACACTCACTACCAGAGTCCATGCAACAAAATCCACCAGTGAATAATAAACCAGTCTACAAATTGACCCCGGCCCCTCTTCACACAGATTGATGGAATCAGTAACAGAGACGCTCCCTCTGGTGTGTGCTTGTCATTCAGACAAAATTCAGTCACAGAGATAGGAGTTATCTTGGTGTTCGACCAACCCTGAGATGTGTTCAGTTTCTACAGGCAGTTCTATCGGCCATTTCAATTCCTGGGTATGTTTGTGTCAGGCTGTGGAGGGCCATATAGGCAGGGGGTGAGCTTCAGTGTTGAACACATACTCGTCCAGACTGATGGAGCTGGGATCGTCTGAGAAAAGCAGGTACAGATACTTCAGGGTCTCTCCCAGGAAGAAGCTCTCCATCTTGTCTCGAGGGCTGGTGTAGTCCGGGTCACGGACGTTGTTGATGGAGGTGTAGCCCCCTGAGGAAACCTGAGGGGAAACAAGCAGATTCAGCTGCTATCCGTTTGTAGGAACGCCCTTTAATACAAATTGCATTATGCATACACAATGTGTAGTGGTGCACTTTTATCTCATTCATATTTCTGACACATATTTAGCCAAGCATGTAGATGAACAGTTTACTTTATATAGCTTTCTTAATCATTTATAGACAATAAAGAAACTGATACTTTTGTTGATGTTTAAAAGTTCAGTCTTGGTGGACAACAATCCCAACACTGCGCAGGTCACTCTATGAAGCATATATTTGGAATAAAAATACACTAACATCAACATATGAACAGACAAGTAAACTTCCAATTTTACATTTGAATGATTCCTTTTGAATGTGTTTGATGTATGCTGAACGTGGCTGTTACATCATTTAACAGTTTACAGATGATGTCATTTTGTCCCACAGAGGCCCATCTGAGATATAATTTTGTTGGGGACAGAGGAGTGAAGGTCATGTCACTTACCTTGGTGTACTTGTTAAAGTTCTGCAGAATGTTCCAGCCCCAGTCCTGGTACTTGTGGTCCTTGGTGAACCTGTACAGGTAGAAGAGGCTCTCCACTGTCTCCGGCCGCAGGAGGTTGTGCCTATCTGCAAGCTATCATCACAGTCAATACAACACACTGAATTAACATCCGAGTACAAGCACACTGCTTCACCTTACTTATTGTCACACTTCACTGATTTCATGCCTTTTGACTCTACAATGGTTCTCTTAAAATCCACAAGACAATTAGTGGCTGAACAATGAGAAGATTGAAGGTCACCATGACTGTCTTCCCTGAGACTTTAGGCAGTCCCTTTATCCAGAATCACACAAAATGAGTTTATAGAGGATGCTGCATGTTAGGATCTCTGATCCACTCCTGCAGCTCCGTCTCTCTCTACCTTTACGTCGATGTCTCGGATGCTGCCCTCATGCATGTTGAAGTGGACGATCTCTGGACTGAGGCCCGTCTCCATCTGGATGTACATCTGGTAGCAGGTCTCCATCAGCTGTTTGGCCAGATCCATGTGATCAGCAGGGAGGCCGTGGTGGGCCCCCAGAGCCAGCGTGCCCGGCAGGAAACACACCAGATGGTCCTGAAAAACAAAGAGTACACACAAGGACAGTTAACAGGAAGCTGTGTGTACACATTCTGTCACGTCTCCACATCAAAATAAATTTAAAAAAAATGATGAATTGTATAATTGATAAACTTCATCCCAGCAGTCTTAGATCATCAAATATCTTGATCTATTAGATATATTTCAAAATTGACCATAGCAATATTTATTACAATAATGTACTGTACATATCCCGTCAGAGATAAGCAGTATTTCTGTAAGTGCACAGCTAAGAGTACAGTGAAGGAAATAAGTATTTGATCCCTTGCCGATTTTGTAAGTTTACCCACTTACAAATAAATGAACAGTCTATAATTTGAATGGTAGATTTATTTTATTAATGAGGGACAGAATATCAAAAAGAATGATCAGAAATGTATATCAAATAACAGATATACATTTATTTGCATTTAATTGTGTGAAATAAGTATTTGATCCCCTTGAAACCAACAAGGATTCTGGCTCCCAAAGACCGGTTACAAAAGTCCTCTTCCTTTAGGAAAGCACTCCTAATATCAACTTGTTAACTGTATAAAAGACACCTGTCCACAGAATCACCCAATCAGATTCCAACCTCTCCACCATGGGCAAGACTAAAGAGCTGTCTAAGGACCTCAGGGAGCAGACTGTAGACCTCCACCAGGCTGGGATCGGCTACAAGACCATCAGAGAGCAGCTTGGAGAAAAGGAGACAACCGTTGGTGCCATTATTCAGAAATGGAAGAAACACAAAATGAGCATCAGTCGCCCTCGGTCTGGGGCTCCACACAAGATCTCGCCCCGTGGGGTTTTGATAGAAAGGTGAGGGATCAGCCAGAACTACACAGGAGGAACTTGTTAATGATCTCAGGGAGCATAGTCACCAAGAAAACTATTAGGAACACACTACACCATGATGGATCAAATCCTGCAGCGCCACAAACCCCCACCCCCTGCTCAAGAAGAACATGAGAGGCCGTCTGAAGTTTGACAATGAACATCTGAAGGATTCAGAGAAGGCTTGGGAGAAGAGGATGTGGTCAGATGAGACATCGAGATCTTTGGCATCAACCCGCCACGCCGTGTTAGAGGAAGAAAGATGCTGACTATAACCCCAGAACACCATCCCCACCGTCAGGCATGGAGGTGGAAACATTCTGCTTTTTCCCTGCATCGAGGAGAGGATGGACGGGGCCATGCACCGTAACATCTTGGCCGATAGCCTCCTTCCCTCAGCCAGGACACTGAAAATGGGTCCTGGAGGGGTCTTCCAGCAGGACAATGACCCTGAACATACGGCCAAGGCAACACAGGAGTGGCTAAAGAAGGAGCACATTTAGGTGATGGAGGGGCCTAGCCAGTCTCCGGACCTCAATCCCATAGAAAATCTGTGGAGGGAGCTGAAACTTCGAGAGGCCAAGCATCAGCCTCAAAACCTGAAGGATTTGGAGAGGATCTTCAGGGGGGAGTGGACCAACATCCTTCCTAGATGTTCACAAACCAGGTGACCAACTACAAGAAGCGTCTGACCTCTGTGTGTCCAACAAGGGTTTCTCCACCAAGTACTAACACATGTTCTGCAACGGGATCAAATGCAAATAATTGTTTATCTTTTATATAATTTCCATTCCTGGATTTTCTTTTGGACATTCTTACTCTCACAGTTACAATAAACCAATTATAGACTATTAATTTATTTGTAATTGGGCAAATAATCAAATAATGATTTCCTTTACTCTATTTCAGCAGTGCAAGCTTGATTATGGGTCAACAGGAGGGAATTTATAATAATAATTTGCACTCGACAGGGTAACAGATGGTGCACACCAAAAGCAAAAAGAGAACAGAGCAGCAGGATAACCTTGAGGACATTTCTGAATATTACTGACCATCTTCGGGCTGAACTGTCCATGTGAAAGTTCTCCAACAAAGGTGAGGCCATTAGGGGAAGATTTCTGCAACAGATTCTTCTTCAAACCCTCTATTGCCTGCACGTAGTCCTCCAAGAGCCTAACATAATGAAACACAGGGACATAGTTTATAAGGAGTACATTTTGAAACTCTTTGCATGCTATCAACCAGAAAGGGCAATGTCAACAAAATGCACAGTGAATGTTGAAAGACTGATGGGAAACTGAATGGCTGGCTTTAAACGTGGAATACCAGAAATGTGTTTTATAGTGTACTAATTAGCTCATCTCAATCTCAGTTTCCCCTGTATTAGAGGTTGCCATGGGGATGGTAACGGCTCAGTGAGGTTCAGAGTGATGAACAACAGACATTATGCTGAGGCCACCGCTCGTGCTTTACGTAAAACATGGCTGCACCAGGATATATATCTGACATTAATGTTTCCTTTGATGGCTCCAGGACAGTTGCGGCCTACAAGGATCGCACCGAGAACTTCACCATGAGTCTTCATCATGTCTTCATCATGAGCCTGAGTCTTCATCATATCTCCACCATGAGCCTGAGTCTTCATCATGTCTCCACCATGAGCCTGAGTCTTCATCATGTCTCCATCATGAGCCTGAGTCTTCATCATGTCTTCACCTAAAGCCTGAGTCTTCATCATGTCTTCATCATGAGCCTGAGTCTTCATCATGTCTTCATCATGAGCCTGAGTCTTCATCATGTCTTCATCATGAATCTGAGTCTTCATCATGTCTTCACCATTAGTCTGAGTCTTCATCATGTCTTCATCATGACTTCACTAGGGCTGCACGATTTGGGGAAAAAAATCTAATTGCGATTTTTCTGACAAATATTGCGATTCGATTTACGATATTTTTTTTTAAGCGACCCAACGGAAATTTATTGTAAAATGCGGCCATATCTCCGTCTCTAGCACCCCCGCAGCCCGAGCTACGAGTGAAAGAACTAAACTTACA